AATAGTTAGTCTTGGCATAAGTACGGTACGAAGTTAGTGAGTTTCGGCGTAAGTAGCAAGTTAGTGAGCCTTGGTGTAAGTAATAAGTTAGTGAGTTTGGGCGTAAGTACCAAGTTAGTGAGTCTTGGAGTAAGTCCTAAGTTAGTGAGTTTCGGCGTAAGTAGCAAGTTAGTGAGCCTTGGTGTAAGTAATAAGTTAGTGAGTTTTGGCGTAAGTACCAAGTTAGTGAGTCTTGGCGTAAGTCCTAAGTTAGTGAGTTTTGGCGTAAGTACCAAGTTAGTGAGTCTTGGCGTAAGTCCTAAGTTAGTGAGTTTGGGCGTAAGTACCAAGTTAGTGAGTTTTGGCGTAAGTACCAAGTTAGTTAGTCATAATTAACAACTTCAAATGTTGTTGGGTATTAGCATTAATACTGAGTCTTGACTTAAGTACTTACACATTTTTGTGGTTATTAAGTGTTGGTAAGAGCAACTCACTAATTTTTTTGTAATTTTTTATGCAGCGATCACATGTTTATAAATGGGATGGTAACATATCATCAAGGTGGACAAAGTTGATTGATACAATCAGTTTAGAAATACCAAAGAATTCGTTGATAGAAGCTGAAATTACACAGGAACTGAAAGGAGAGGTGAATACAAAACTTAATTTTATAGTTCCTACAATTTTTGACTTTTGACAAAAAGTGAGTCTGTATGTCTGCTCATATCTAAAGAAAAACTTAATGAATTTCAATGAAATTTGACATGTACATGCTCTTATATAATTTGCTGAAATCTATGGATATTATTCATGTAATTTCCACAGTAAATTATTAGGTTATTTTTGGATATAAAAAAATAGTTAATGCCTGTGATCAACCTCAATATATTTTTAAAGAATTTTGATATATATATATATATGATCTGATGTGGGGGAGGAAATACGTACATATTAATCACCTAATTCCACTGATATCTCAATAACTAGTCAATAAATTGTCATCAAACTTGCATTCTGGGATAAACCTTACCCCTGAATAGTTTTTACTTGCATATTCGTGCATATTTATCACATTCTAAATGCTATTGAGCCATTTTGAGCTCTTCCACTGATCAAACCTTTGACTTGTGTATAGCCATAAATTATCAAATCGGGAAAAGTTGTCTAAGCGAATGAATGTTGTAACAAATTAATTAATTTTTTCAGACAATTTGTTTGGAAACAAAAAATATATTCAGGTTAAATATGACTAATAATTTGATGTTTAATTATAATATCTACCACCAGGTACATTATGGTTTTATAGTCTGAATAAAAATACCAACATTTTTGAAATCCTTTCTTAGGGCAGAGGTCAACGGAAGATACAAAGTGTTCATATTTTAGATGTTATGTGTCTTGGTGGAGAAGATTTGAGGAATTTACACTTCAATGAAAGGTAGGTTAAACCACTGTATATATATAGCTAGTATTAAACAGCTAACATTGTGTTGGGTATAGTCTAGCGGCTATCTGTTTTCATGTAACTCATATATCACAATCCTTATTGAGGTTAGTAAAGGACAATGATCAAACTTTACGCACAAAACATGGACCATCGTTGTACTATCACGGTCAAAATCAAAAATTGGCATTGGCAAATCAACAAGGCTGATCAATGTCTCCCAAACTTTGACATTTTATTGATGTAAAATCTCCATAAACCAAAACCAAAATAAGTTAATCTGACCTGAACTCCATTTGCACTGATTTGTGGCATTGTTTGTTTCTGTTGACAGAATGCTTCTTGCAGAGAAGTTTGTGAAAGCCATACATAAACCAAGTAGATCTGATTTAGCAGCATTAAGGACAAAACATATCTATAAAATGGAAGACCTGCACATGTTGTTTAAAAAGTAAGTACAAAATGATAGAGTGTTTCTATAGATGTTCTACTCAATATACAACTATAACTGTACAGAAAGCATATATAATTATCTCTATCTATCTAGTTTAGAAATGAAGGTAGTGAAGGGATCAAGAGAGCCAAGATTATGTTATACAACTAAAAATGGCCGCTATATTTTACCAACTGGGGTTTATTTTGTGAAAACAACCAAAGGTAAGAACGACTATTCGTCTCACTGCTTCATCTTTATACCTTTATGTCCAACTGGTTTGCCCAACTTGCTATATGTGTACTCATGTGCTTACATAAATGACTTGGTGTTTGAAAAAATAACTGATATTTTAATGATCTAGTATACAATAAATGAAATGTGCACTTCTAATAGAGCATTTACAGTAGACTTCAAAATTGACAGATTCAAATTCAAACAACTTTTCAATGACATACATATGATAGTCAAACTTATGTTCATGTAATAAGTGAACAGACACCTTACAGAGCAGTATGGTTTCATTCATTGTAACATGCACCTAGACTGGCACAGTCTGGGCGATTTATTTCTTTTTAAATTTAAAATTAAATAAAAAAAAATAGCAAAATGGAGGTGTTAACGCAAAATCTCCTGTAACTGCGAAATCTCCCAGACTGGACGTTTTTTGCAGCGCCCTCTGTGGTGAAAGCAGGAACTAGTGTGTTTTCATACTAGTTTTTATGTTAATGAGCAGAATGACAGGCAAGAGCGCCCAATCAGAGTAATTTGACCTTTAAACTATATCTAGTTAACCTTTGTACCTGAAGACTTCACTTTTCTTCAAGTTTCTTGATCATTAATCATAACAAACGAATTACTATTTATAACGTTCCGTACAAATTATTCTAATGGACAGAAGTAGCCTGCGTGTAGCTTTATCTCGCCTGGGTTACAGTGAAGCGCGATCAGCACAGAACCCCCCACAATGTTACCTCATTATGTAGCGCGCACGCCCCCACTCCTTTTTTGTATCCATTTAGTGATGTCACTACATATCATGAATAAATAATAGCAGATTCACTGCCAATAAGACCAGTCTGTGGTGGTTTCGCGTTCACCCCACCTTTTGCAAAACTTTTTCACAATTTTTTCAACTGAAAAAAAACACCACAGCTGGGTCAGTCTAATATGCATCCTATAGCTGCATTACACAAATTGTTTGATTTTTCAGATCCGTGGATGATGCAATTAAGTCGAACTCATAAAAGGAAATACTTTTATGACACGCAAACCAGACAGTCTGTGTTTGAGACTCCATCATCGTCTATTGCAGGATTCAAGTAAGTAGTCCAGTTAGCAATTTGGATACCTTGTTTACCATAATCTTAGTTGGTTTACCCAGTTAGCAATTTAGATAACTTGTTTACGGTATCATAATCTTAGTTAGGTTTCCCCAGTTAGCAATTTGGATAACTTGTTTACCATAATCTTAGTTGGTTTTCCCAGTTAGCAATTTGGATAACTTGTTTACCATAATCTTAGTTGGTTTACCCAGTTAGCAATTTGGATAACTTGTTTACCATAATCTTAGTTGGTTTACCCAGTTAGCAATTTAGATAACTTGTTTACGGTATCATAATCTTAGTTAGGTTTCCCCAGTTAGCAATTTGGATAACTTGTTTACCATAATCTTAGTTGGTTTTCCCAGTTAGCAATTTGGATAACTTGTTTACCATAATCTTAGTTGGTTTACCCAGTTAGCAATTTAGATAACTTGTTTACAGTATCATAATCTTAGTTAGGTTTCCCCAGTTAGCAATTTGGATAACTTGTTTACCATAATCTTAGTTGGTTTTCCCAGTTAGCAATTTGGATAACTTGTTTACCATAATCTTAGTTGGTTTACCCAGTTAGCAATTTAGATAACTTGTTTACAGTATCATAATCTTAGTTAGGTTTCTCCAGTTAGCAATTTGGATAACTTGTTTACCATAATCTTAGTTGGTTTCCCCAATTAGCAATTTGGATAACATAAAAGGTACAATATAATTTTTAACTCCGCTGTCTACAAAGTCGACACAATGGAGCTGTTCATATTACTGATTGTCCGTCGTCGTCGGCATCAACTTTACAATTTCAACATCTTCTTTGAAACCGCAAGTCAAATTGTTTTTAAATTTGATATGCAAGTACCTTGGATGGTTCTTTCTCAGATTTGTTCATTTCATGTCAAAATCTCAAATTCTATATTTTTGTAATTTTTGGTAAAAAGCGATATTTTTAACTTCTTGTTAAAAACCGCAAGTCTGATTGCTTTGATATTGCATATATAGGTACTACATGTGGACCTCTCTCAGATTTGTTCATTTCGTGGTGATATCTTCAATTATCTAATTTTGATGATTTTTGGTGAAAAGTGATATTTTTGAATTCTTGTTGAAAAGTCTGATTGCTTTGATACTATACATAGTTTTGTTCTTTAAGTGCAATGTGCATTGCTAACAGCGGAGCTATCTCAGCTGACAGGCTGCTCGTCTTAAATACCAGTAATTAGTCACAGATGAACAGTGGGACTATTCCAGTGCTACTGGTCAATTGAACGTGTCTCTCTAGTTACGTTTATATTCATACAATACTGTGATCACTCTCTTCATATAACTCTTTGTTATTATTAGGGATTGCCGAACGAATCGTTATCACTGGATATGGGAAAGTGGTGTAAAAGTACATGAAGATCAAGGGATGAATGATGAAGACAAGATATCTAAAGCCATCTTACTGGAGTTTATTGAACATAAGATACAACGATGATGTGTCAGAGCTTTGACTTTACTAATCTAAAGTCACCCACAACTTATAACTGCCCTAGCTTGGAATCGAGTATATAAAGGCAGTTGGTGGGGCATCCAAAGTCATGACCTCAGTCAATCCCGGGGCATCCAAAGTCATGACCTCAGTCAATTCCGAGACCCGATATGTGATGTCATAGCTGCTATTTATGCTAAATGGTGCTTTAGTTTTTCAGCTAATGTTAATGCATAATGATGTCGAAAAATGGCATGTTTTAATGGCATTCATGAGGGCAGATTCTGTAAACATCTGACATTGTCCTAACAGTCAGCAATCTATTAACAAAATATATTACCATAACTATGTGGTAGTTTGCCTGGCAAGTTTAACACATTTTTAATATGTTTTTATCACTTGATATGTAATCGTTGAATGAAACCACTTCGAGATAAATTTAATTTCAAGTAACTAATCATTAAAAAGTTAATCCAAATACTTTATATTGTCGCAGGTTTTTTATTTTGTTTTAGCGTGATGAACTTCAGCTGCTCAAACAAAATATTGATGTTGGCATGACCAATTGTTTTATGTTGTCACCCTGTTTATTTATATGCAAGGTAAATTTCAATGAAGGTGCCATTTTGTCAAGGCAGTTCAAATATTCATCAATAGTTGGCGTTGAAATCAAGCAAGGGGTTTCCTGATTTCATTTCAAACAATCAAGGCTTCCAAGAATTGCAGATACCCTAGCATCTTTATTTAAAACTCCGGTTGAACACTTATATCTTCAATAGTGATCCTAATATGATAGTTATGCATTTTAAATTCACATGACCATACATGGTGGTAAATATGTTGATCAGATCATTAGCTCAATAACATACTGGTTGAATGTCTATCTGCAATAGTGCTCCAAACAATAATAGTTAAAATTTAACTTTGCTTTTATGTGTACACAATGAAATGGTGGAATGCAGAGTGAACCAATCCTAAATGACAGCACAATGTACAAAATAGATAGATTTGAGTATTTTAATTAATAAATAAACTAGAGTCCTATACACAGACTTGGAAAAAGTATATTAGAGCTAAAATTGTACAGTTCATTCTCGTGCTTGTTTTTCAACAAAAAAATTTTTACAATAAAATAATTCATATTTACACTTTACATTTAATAAGTGAAAAATTCCCATGAGAATGGATTTGATTGTAGCTAGTTGGTTTGTGACAATGTAAAACCACTTATTCCATGTCATCCATATCATAGTCATGGTAACTATCCAACCCTAAAAAAAGAGAAACGGCAGGCATACATTAATTATGTGAGCGCTCAATCAAATTAACCTGGTTTCATCAACAAGAGAGATAATTGTTAATGTATGTTTAAATGCATGTATTGTATCAACCAGAAGAAAGTTAACATTGTTCAAAAATACTGGAATCAAACAAAAAATTGCCATGTGACTGCGTACCTGAATGTCCCATTAATTGTAGAGCACTGACTGGTTCACCTTCCTCTTCCTCGTAATAGTCTGCATCCTCATCCTCCAAATGACTGTTATCAAATGTAACTGGTCCACTCTCCACGACAACAGCATCCTCATTCTTTAGACTTTCAGGAAAGTTAGTTTCCAATCGGGCCATTTTTGAGCTGGTAACCTAGTGAAGTAATGGTAAACATCAATTAGATTTGGCATCCTAAATATACATTTGTTTATTCAGTTTGTGACAAGTTAAAACCAGAACTTGAATCCTAAACTAAAGATAAGTTGGATGGTGTCCGAGTAGAGCAGTGATTTCATGGTTTGCCAGGGTGTGAATAAACAAGATAATTGCAAAAAGAAAGCAAGAGATGGCTGTAATTAAAATAATGTGATTTATATGAATTTATTTCGAGATACACATTTATCACTGCAAGACTAGGCATAGTTCTTAAAAGAACATCTGACTGAATTATTATAGATTGCAATCAGTGTTAAATTGGTAGATTACTCGTGAATGATACAGTACCTGTGATTGGTCAGTTTTCCTTTTATTTACATTTGGTTGTATCCTTTTCATTGTTCCACTTGACATTCTTGATTTCGTCGTTGCTATCGGTGATGGTGATGGTGATAACATTGTTGACTCTGGTATACTTTCCTGTTTAGGTGGTGATTTGCTGCTACCTTGGCAGTCACTCTCTCTGTTCAAATCTCTTAAAACATCATAGTTTATTTTACTGGATATTTTTTTCTCTTGTAGCATTTTTTCAATGGCTTCCCCGGCAGTGTTTGCTTGGAAGGGAACTCTCTTTTTGTACTTTCTTTTCTGGAGAAATGAAGAGTATCACACAATTGCATTTAGCCTAGAATCTATTAGATCTGAGGTTTAAGACCTCTAAAACCATTTTTTTTCACTGGCATTTAATTTCCCTATTTTGATGCTTTCAGCAATTTCACAAAAACTTTTTAATAGGATTTAATTCAGTGGATTTTACGTACTCATTGGCGAAAATAGCGAAATGTACAGTCTTAATATGCCCATTTACCTTATTATTAAATATTCAGATTCAAAGGTCAAAGCTGAACCATAGCAAGTCATATTCTCTCAATTCATTAGCTAGTTTTAATGCTGCCCATGAATTCACTGTAATCATATGATATTCAGATGATTGATGTTTGATGTATTACAGATGCCACTAGTATAATTACATACAGATATCTGTTATTAAAAATTACTTATAGTTTAGAAATATCATAATACTATACCTTTTTTGATTCAGGTTTTGAAATTCCTAACTCTCGATCTCTCTGCTCTTTTTCTTCTTTTTCTAAAATATTCACAAAACATTTCAACAACAAAAATATAAATATTAGCAAGACACTCTAGTACTTAGTATTTCAGTGAAATGAAATAACATGAATGTCTAAGTGGATTTACACCACAAAGTGGTTACCAACTTTTATATGATAGAAAATTAATAAAACACTGCCATGTAATTTAAACTCTGAAAAATTATTGTTTTGTTTTATAGCTTTGTTACTAGACAATATATCACAGATTTTAGATATTCAGGAAATAATGGGACTTCAAATAAGACATTAACCCAATGAGTACCAGGACAACCAAAATGGCGGGTTCATCAATGAGCAGGAAACTGTTTAGTAAAATGATGAATAGCTACCTTTTTGCTGCTTGAGGTACTCTGCATTTTCTTTCATCCAAATTTCAGTTTTTAGCTCAACTTCATTATCACTTAAAATAAACTAGAAAATAAACAAAATATCTCTCAAGTTTTGCCCACAAAGATTAATTTCTATATAATTTCTACTACATTTATATTGTGTATTTTTGTCACTGAAACATTGGAGCATGGTATAGTATAAACATAGGCAAATTGTAAGCAGGCAATTTTTAGTTAGATCCAGCTGCAGAACAGTTTGTAAAACAATCCTAAAAGGATGGACAACTGTGAACTATTCCAAACTATATTGTGGTTTTCTGATCACAGGCAAAATGCAAATAGAAGATGTACATAGTGTTTTATTACTAAATGTTGAACAGTCTCATCCAATAGTGATTGGTAGAAGATATCACATGACCTGAGTAATGTTTAGAGTTATAACATACCTTTTCCAACTCACTGTCGTCAATTCCAGTAAGATCTAACTCACCATCATCTTCTGGAACAGCTGTATTTTGAGAGAAAAATTCTTTTAAAATCAAGGTAGCTATAACATACATAAGCATATTGATGAGCAGAGCCAAACAAATAGAAATTCCTGAATTGTGTCTATAGGAGAATGTGTTCGAAACTTTGTAGCAGTGAAAAATTAAGTAGAATCCTTTAGGTAGTCACTGTAACTATGGTTATATTCTTTCCTCACAGACACTCTTAAATCATTAAATGGTGAACAACTTGAGCGATGAAAATGTAATTCTTTATATTTCTCTGTCCCTTTGTAGTAAATAAATCAACAATACAGAAAATTAGGCAGGGTTTTTTCTAAACTGGGGAACAGGGGCCCTGACATTTGGTTGGCTCCCTCTCACCGAATTGCAGATTGAACTTTCAAGTCATAAATATATTTCTTGAGCGGTACATGAAATCTTTCTTAAATACTAGTATATTTTTTTTGTGAAATCTTTCCAGCAACACCAGCTGACAATATGTCTGGACACCAAATACACTAAAATTACTTCAAAACTATTTCTATGGCGATAGATACTGTTAAAACGACGCAGAAACCTTCCGATATGGCGTTGCTTCACTCCCTCGCCAGTGTGTGCTCCCACTCTCTCATTTTTTCCAAAAAAATACCCTGTTAATGATTTATATATATTCTAGTTATAACTCACATTCCTCTTCTGGCACTTGCATACACTCCTCTATTGTTTGCGTTAGTCCTAGACTTACAGCAGATGGCCGTGGCCCAGAATACGCCCCTTCCCATGATGCTTCACTAAGTAGTAAAGTATCAAGTTCCTCATTATTTCTGTTGGTACAATGATTGTCAATTCCCACATCATCGTCTACATCATCATCTACATGGCAGTCTTTCACAGGTTCTTGCATCACAGCCGACTCTGCCACCGCTTCCTCTTTCGCGTCCTGTAAGATTTCCGTCTCCTCTTCCACCTGCTGCAAGATTTCCTCTTCCACAAACTGTGACGTTTCTTGGACATCTTGGGAGTCATCTGACTGAGATAGTGAACCTTCACATAAATCTGAAATAACAGGTACACAGTGATAAAATGGGTAATTACTATTATATTGTACAGGCATGAAGAGTAGGAATTCAAACAAGAAAGCTGTCAGAGCTTGCATACAATGTATCTCCCAGCATTGTTACACAAGGAGTAGGCAGTGGTAACTGTTTTGATAGAACTGTGGTGTCGCAGCTACTGAAACTTGATATAGCTAAAAGTAGTGTACATCCCAAAAAGAAAGTAGGTAGGGATAACAGGTATGGGTTGGATTGCACAAACACACATACACACCCACACAGTTGAATTAACTTTTAATATAGTTGCGCTATGATATGAACCATTGTTATTATTTAAACTATGATAAATGTATTTAATGTATTCCCCAACTTACTTGGATTTTTACTGTGTTTTTTATGTAAAGCCTTTTCAATTTCTTCCTGTACACATGATATTTCACCTTCCAGCTCTGGCAGTTTACAAGCTTCTCCAAACTAAAAATAAACAGAAGTGA